CACACACACACACACACACAGAGCAAACTTGTGTCCGCCAAGCAGAACTGTAAATGGGACAAAGTAGAGGATGACTGCAGGGGTGCAGGAGAGCCTAGCGGTCAGGTAAACCCTGGCGGTCGACCGGGCCACGACACTGAGCGCTGGTAGTTTAACTGCCCACCCTGGTGTTCATGCATCCTCCACAACGCTCGCTCGCCGGGATTCTCGCTCTCTTTCTTTTCACGTTTTCTAAACTGCAGAATAGTAGCTGTCTCAGTCGTTATAAGCCTGACTTTGTTTAATCACTAAACTGTTGTGATCTGATCTCTTGGTATCGTTCTTCATTCTTCTTTTGTTTCTCGTGCTTTGAATTTTGTTTCTGTACACGTGGTTAAAAGGAAAACATGGCTGTACTCAGTATGTCGCCTGTACTGTGTGAGGTCATCATCAGCAAAGTTCTCCTTTTATGTGTAACGTGGATACATTTTTACTGTTTGCTGTATGTTTTTGATTGTTTGCCACTAATCTGGAGATTGACAGTAAAGACAGGATTTTGTGAGGGACTCTCGGCTGCGATGTTACCAAACAGTAAACACATTTGACTGTTGCATCTGGAGAAAATGGGTTTTTTGTTTTGTTTTTTATGGTAACACCATTACAGCCACTCCTTATTTTGTCAAGAACAGACTGTGTTAACCTCTGGTCCATTTAAGTCCAGCTCTCAGCATCAGATATCCAAAAGCAGGACTTTGAAGAAAAGCCCAGAAACAACATCCCAGCCCCTAATCTACCATCCCACAGGAGCGCTCACATCTCCGATGGGAGTGGGTGCAGGTTGGCACACACAGATCAGAGGCTGCCCGTCACTGCGCTCACATCCCAGCTCAGCTCTTCTGTTCTCACAGTCATCCTTTACTTTATTATAATGAGTTTGTCTTTCATGGGTTTTTTCCTTTTCCCCACATTTGTACTCACCAAATTGTCGCAGTGGTTTCGTAGACGTGAGGTGGAAGTTGACGACACGAGCGTTTTTAACTACATTACTGAAGGGGAATCTTGACATTCCAGTGTACAATTAGAAAAGAAGAATCTTTAATGGAATAAAATGTATTATGGAAAATGTACGTCTGACTTGGGTTTTTGTTTCAGTGGGCCTGTCATAGGTCATTGTGTAATTGTTGTGTTTTTGCGTTACATGAAGAAATTGTATTTTGTCCTGTTTGTGTTGTCGTGCTCACTGCGTTGGTTACCGTGTGACACAGAAATAGCCAGCACGCCTATCAACAATCAGATTAACCACACCCACCCAGTCTCTGCTAACATTCGAGCCTTTTTTCCCTGATGACCAATGTTTGCCTTCAAGCAGCCCGTCTGATCACACAGGACTCATCGGGATCATGAGTGGGGGTCACAGGAGCTTCTGCAGGGCTTTTTATTGAGTGGTTATTACTGTTCCTCTCAGCTGGAGGCCGTCTGGCATCAACACATTTTCACCCGGAGCTGCTCACTAGATCTTTTCTCTTGTAGAGCTGGTTGTGTGGGAACATCCCAGTAGATGGTAGTTTGAGACCCGGCTGCCTGGCTCCAACAGCTGTGCTGTCAGTCCCCTCTGATGCTCAGCGTGAACTTCAGCAGGTCACGTGTCCTCACACGCTCCTCGACTGTGCAACACTGAATAAAATAAAACAATCTGGAAATTTGACGTTGAAAATCTGAAACTGTACGTTGTGCGAGTGGGTGTTAAAGAGTCGCTGTGGTGAAGGTGAGAAGCGTCAGGCTGGGGGGGTGTTGAGAACGAGTCCTGTCTCAGTCACTTCTGCAGGGGGGGTTCTGGTTTAGGACCCGGGTGGCCTGAGAATAGAAGCGGAAGTGGAACTGGAAGCTGGAACAGTTCATTGCTAGGATGGGACGGGTCCTTCAGCATCTGAGCTGCTCTGGTCCAGCATCTCCTCGTGTAGATGTCCTGTAGGGAGGGGGAGCAGCCCTGCAGCAGCGTGTACGGATCACTCTGAAGAGCTTTTTTGTCCTTGACACAGCTGTTTCCATACCAGATGTGATCTTCTGTGTGAGGATGCTCTCCACAGCACCTGCATAGAAAGTCCTGAGGATCTCTGGAGAGAACCTGAACTTCTTCAGTTGTCGGAGATGATCCAGGTGCTGCCTGTCAGATCTGAGGAGA